TTTATATAATAAATTTGTTATTTTCGAAATAAAATATGTTACGGTATTACTATTGAATAAATTTCTTTTGTCTTTTCTCTTGGAGCTGACCAGCTAATATTCCCTTGTTTTTCGAGTATCAATATCCCGACAAACATTTTATTTTATATAATAGCTATATAGACAATTGATAAAAATAGAGGCGAGACTTACCTTACAAGTATATAGACCCGAATCACGTTGATAGCAACCAGCAATTTCCAAAATAACAAAGCCAAAATCGTTGATCGTCTTAATACGAGAACCAGACCACAAAGCTTTTCCATTGTGATACCATTCGACTTGTAAGCTTGGATCATGAATTGGTGTTAATCGACATTCAAAGTGAGCCAAACCATTTTCATTGATGGTTAGATCAGCTGGTGAAGTGATAAATTCTGGTGGTTTGCCAGTTTCTTCTTCGGGCGTTGATTCACCATATTGAACGCCAAGCCCTTCAAGCTCAGCAATTCGATCAATAGTACCTTCCATTCCTTTGGGCAATTGTGATTCAAGAATAATGCTACGCTTTCCTTGAACTTTCATCGATGCAGTTGTAACGGCCTCTCCGTATTCTGGTGAAAACGAATAAAATAATGAAAAATAAAAAGAATTCGTTTTATAATCGAGTAAAACGAAATTGAATAAATAAATCTTTATTTGTGATTACATTTTGGTTCCAAAATGAAATACAATAAACTTTGTACGTACCGTTTATTGCACGGCATGCGTATTCACCACTATCTTCTGGATAGACGGGAGAAATTTCCAAAATAACAAAGCCAAAATCACAGAATGTACGGAAACGTGAACCCGTTTTCAATGGTTTGCCATTCCAGTACCATTCAATCTTCAATTTTGGATCATCAGTTGGAGTGACTCTTGCTTCAAAGTGAACATTTTCACCTTCACGTAAACTGTCTACATTAGACAATGGAACAGTAAATACAGGTGCTCTGCCTTTTGTCTCTTCAATAATTTCTTGTTTGCCACGAACACTGTCTTCAAGATCTTGAATCTTTTCTAACCCACCTTCCATTCCCTACAAAAAATATAAATGAATAAAGATGTTTAATGAGTGTTTGAGCAGCTTAGATTATAATTAATAAATAAAATAGTTTTTTTTTT